GGAAATTGTAAGACCCCAGCCTTCCTTGTTTCTCTGTTTCCTTGGCTCATGTTACAAGCAGTTTGCTGTGCCACATGCTCCTACTATGATGCACTGCCCTCACCAGAGACCAAAGAATGGGGCTGCTTGATCTTAGACTGCAACCTCTACACGTCATTTTTCTTTATCAGTTAGGTGTTCCAGGTATTTTATTGAACTAATGCAAAATTGACAAAGACACCTTGACTCGGGCTGGACCAATGAGAATATTTCATCTAGAAATGTGGTTCTGGGGAGCATCTAATTAAATTCTGTCCATTGTCTATGCAGCGGATAAACAACCAGGGACTGGAAGACTATGGACAACCATGTGCATAAAGAGACAGAGATGGTCAGACTAGGAACATGGTGCAGAGAGGGGAAACTGTCCTAGCTCGGAAAACTGTCCTAGTTGTCATGGCCCAGAGTTCAGGAAGATCTCAAGGGGAAGGCCAAGGGTGGTTCCAGGGTGTGGACCCACTGAGGCCTGGATGCCCTCATGATGACATTCCAGGAGTTTGCAGCCACTTTAGAACTATCCTTGTCCTGCCTTTGCATACCTTGTACAGGCCTCCCATGGGGTTTCTTTAATGTTTCTTTAATGTTTCTACAAGTTGCAGTCATATTCTGAAGTGGTCTGTGAAGTTTCTGCAAGCTTTGTGGTTCATCTAAGAGAATTATGATTTAGAAATGGACTTATATTTTGGAATAAATTTCATATGTTCTTGGTGGGGCTCCTTCTTCTTCAAGGTTGTGCTAAAGTCCTGTGGCCAGAAGGACCCTGGTTCGCAGTTCTCATGGTTGCCCAAGTCACCCAGTATGCAGCTTGCATGGGCCTCCAGTCCTGGCAACTATGGTGAAGCTGGGTGCTTGGGCCTGGTCATCACCCTACCACCCCTCTGGTGTCTGCTGATGTGCAGGTGACCTGCCTAATCCCTGTCCTCTCTTCCTGCCTCTGTCCTCACTCTACCCCCTCATTCAGAGAGACTGACTGTCACCATTCAGGACTTTCAGTCCTGATACAAGGTGGAGGGAGGTGACTTCAGGCATCTTGCTTCCCACTGAGTGGTACCTCATAGGGCTGCAGGAAGCCACCATAGACCAAGTGGCCAATAAACAGCAGCAATTTATTTCTCATAGTTCTGGAGTTTGGGATGTCTAACAACAAATCAGATTAGGAGTCTGGTGAGTGTCTGGTTCACTGTGGGTCTTTGTGGCTTTGTCATCCCATGGTGGAACGGGCAAAGCAGTGCCCCAGGGTCTCTCTTATAAGGCATGAATCCTAATGATGGGGCACCAATCTCATGGTCTAATCCCCCTCTAGAGTTCCACACACAATGCCATCTCCCTGGGCACAGGGATCTCCACACAGGAATTTTAAGGGGATGGTCCACTTTCAGACCTTAGCATCTGGACTTACACTGCCCCCACCCTCTCCAGATGACAAGCTGCATACTGGGTGACTTGGGTAACCATGAGAACTGCTAGCCAGACTTCTCTGTCTTCATGTGAACCTGTAATAAATGTTCTCTTATGTAAACCCAAACTTATCCAAACCATGTGACACTAACAAGGGCCAGCTACCTTACTTAAATGTGAACAGGACAACAGAGAGGAGAGACAGAAAGAACACAATACTGAATGGGTTGATGGATTGCTTATCAGCTATGCCAAGTGCCTGGCACAGCACAATTGCAAACTCTAGAGTGGGAAATGGGTTTCCTTTCAACCTTGACTTCCTCTACATTCTGAGCCTACTCCGGTGCCCTGGTGCACAAAGGATTGGGGGAACTTCTTTAAGGCCACAGCTCGTATAAGCACATGCTCCAACTGGGGTGTAGAGGTGTGTGCTGGGCCCTGGTGCTCTTAGAGGAGGCCTGTAGCTCTCCCCAACTCTGAGTGTCTGGGGAAGCTCCTAGCTTCAAGGAGCTCAGGCACCCATTCACTCTTAGAGACATTCAGTCACATTGAGGGATAAAGGGAAAGGATGAACATTGCCCTTCAGGGGGATACTGATCAGCCAGGGGGACAGGCCACTCCACTGTCAGTGCTGAGGGAGGCTCTCCCCAGTTCAGTGCCATGGCCTACATCCAGCTATGTTGGGAGTTCTTTTGGAGTCCAGTAATGACTGGGCAGAGGGCTGTGACATGTTCTAGGCTGTGACCCTCTATGGGAGGCCTTCAGTTTCCACCCTGTCACCCAGGAGACAAGGATGACATTCCCAGGATGTCTCTTCAGACAGCCTCTGTGCTTAGACTCCTGTTTCTTCCACTTAAAAGCTTTGGGATCTGAAGTTCTCATTAAGTTCCCAGAAATGTTTTCTGATCCATCAAATGGGAAGGAAAAAAAAAAGCAAGCTCACAAAATGTTGGTGAGGATATAAGGATTCGCTTGTGGGGCCACAGAAGCAGATACCTATGAGGGTAGAGCAAGGTTTACAAAACACTCCAGTGTTCTGTTGTGACATCCTCTAGCTCCCAGGCCAAGGGTGGAGGAGGGGCATCATACCTAAAGGCCCCGCCTGCACTAGGGAAGCTCTGAATGGGCCACTCTGATAATAGTGATCATGCACTGCAAAAAAGCAGCTGCATCACGGAGCACACCATGGGGGTGGGAGTGAACTGCAGAGGGTGGGCGACCTGATGGTAAGCACTCAGGGACCTGGGCTATAAGCAGAAGACTTGGTCACTCAACCTGACCTGGTCCTCCACACTCTGACAGCATGTGTACTTTCTCACTGTGTCTCAGGATCCTAGCAGTGAGCAAGGATCTGACTGCCCACCACATCACTGGCAACCCCTGTCCCTGTTCACATCCACTGCCCCCATAGGGTCTGCTTGGTTGAGCATTAAAGTTTCAGGATATTTCAGTACTTTCAGGAAAAGTACCTTAAATTGCATTTTCCTTCCAGCGAATAGCCCTTCATCCCCACTGATTTCTTTTCTAGTGGATCTGCAATGTTCACTATAGCATATCATAAGTCCACCTCTCTGTGTAGGTTTGGTTTATTCTCTCTCTTGCTCAGGTGAAGATCTGAATTAATTGACCTCTTATATGCAAATCTTCCACTGATGTCTATTTCTAGGGTTAGAATGACTGAGGTTTTTGGCCAATGTAAGAAGGAATTCACCAGGAGATATAAAGCCCCAGAATTATTATCTTCAGTGACTAGGGCCTGGCACAGACTAAGAACTGCCCACAAATCCACATCAGCTCATTGGTGGGCCACAGCTGGACTTAATTATCAACTCTCCCGCCCCTAGGTGAGCCTGTCTGAGCTCACTGGAGTCAGGGCCACATGGACATGGATGCCCCTTTGTCAAGCCTGCCCTTTCCTTCTGGCTAACTAGAAAGCCATCACAGAAGGTTCCCACATGGTGGAGTGACCCCCTTCATATTGGGGTCCTTGAATGACAATGGAGCTGCAACCTGGAGTTTATAAGGTGATTGGATGAACTGCTGTGGAATGTGCATCCCACCCTACCCCAACATGTGTGTCTGTGACTCTCTTTTCTGGACCCTGTGCCAATTACCAGTCGGTCTCCAGGTACCCTTGGCCTAAACACTTCTACCTGACCAACAGTAAAGTGGGAACATTCCACTCGGGTCTTTCTGTATATACATAGTCAGAGGCTTTTATTTTTTGTAAAACAAAACAAAACAAAACCAAACAAAATCAAAAAACAGAATAACATTAAAAAGTTGACCCAGTTAGGGCTCATATCCCATGACAATTCTCAGGAAGTGAGATGTGGAATGGCTGCTGATGCTCTGAAGCATCCATGGTTGCTCTGGGAATAGGTCTCCAAATGGGACCAAACCAAACCACTGAGTCCACAATTCCAGGTTTGGAGTTTCTTTGTCCATTTCTTTGCTTTGACTTGACTTATTTTCCCAGGGTGTGTGAATGCCTCCTATACCCAGCTGGGAGGCAAATGTGCTGTCACAGATGGGACAGGCCTGGAAGGTTGGAGGATGATCAGTTCCCATCAGCTGATAGGACTCAGATGTGGGGCACAGACTGTAGTTAACTCAAGAGAGTGGAGGACAGACAAGTTGGAGAGGGATGAAACATAGTAACTTCTGGAAGGGATATTTTGAAAGTCTGCAAATAGCCCCTACATACATAACACAAGCCATTCCAGTACACCCTGTTTCTTTGGAAATAGGAGAGACAGTTATGGTTTTCACTATTCATCCAAATCAATCAATACTGCTTACAACTGAAAACTTGGCACATTTTTCCCTGAGCATGCAAGGTTGCAAGGCTACCACTAAATCGAATATCAAGATGAATTAGAAATGACTTGGCCACCTGGGCCATGGTTTCCCACCCTCCTGAGGACATCAAGGCCCCTTAGGGCTCTCATGCCTGTGTGTCTGGGAGACCATGCTGACACTGGTGCCCACTCTGGGTGGCAGGAGGCTGCATGGTAAACTCAGATGTGGGACTAGTTTTCTTCTCTGATGTTGAAGAGCACACAAGGGAGGTTTACCTCCTTCACTGAAATTCAAAGGATGTTTTGAAATCCCCTGTGCTGTCAGACAGCGTGAGGTATCAGAAAGGAGAAGTCTCACTTCTAGAAGAAATGTTGCCTCCTTCTAGAACACATTCAGAATTCTGGGAGTCAAGAAATAGAAACCAGAGATGTGTAGTGCAAGGGATGAGAAACACAAGTACTTATTTTTGCAACAAATGAAGGCAGGATACTGAGGAGAGTATTTGTGTTTAAAGACTTTGGGAGCTTTTGTTTTTATAGAGAACTTGGCATAAGCCCTTTTCTTCTTAGCTCTGGGTGAGAGGGCTGTTGAAAGTGGCATCATCCAAGCCTGGTGTTATCCACATACCAGAGTACTTTGTTCTGGCTGGTGAAGCATAAAAATATCTTAGACACTAGAGCATCTCTCCAGGTGACACACTTATACTGATCAGCGGCAAACCCCAACACCTTTGCACTATAAACCAAGACTCAATACATGTGTCTAATTCAGCAACAAAGACCTCTTAATCTTAGGTTTTGGGTCCTTTAGAAGTAGGGCGAGGGTTCTGAGGGTGACCTAGGGAATCTATAGATTTCCGGGCAGAGGGAGGGAGCAGGGGCAGTATTCTGAAGCAAGACTGGGAGTATCTAGGTGGGGGCTGCTGGCATTGAGGGTAGCTGTTGAGGGAAATGCAATCCCTGCTGGGTTGCAGGCATATCCTTGGGGTGCACGGTGTATGTGGCATGGAGCAGCACTCTCGAGCTGGTTGAAGACAGACCCCCCCTGAGGTACACAGTTCCTGTGGGGCGGGGAAATACTCCCTGCTTGGTGCAAGACAGATCTTTGGGGAGCAGGGTGCCTGTGTGAACTGGCAGTATTCCCTAAGGGGTGGTAGGACGATCTTTGAGTTGCAGGGGACCCGTCCAACACGAGGTTTCATCAAGACAATGTTGTTGCACCTCTGTAGGGAAGAAAAGAAAGAGAAGTCACTGAGATGCTTCTGGAATTGGGCCAGAAGACTTCAGTTGGCTGGATTAAGGCAGTGGAGTCAGGACCGGTCAGGACTGACAGAGTGGTCTTGTTGATGCTCCCTGTTAATCAAATCCAATCATATTCAAGATGGAGTCACTTGGGTCAACCTCTAACAAAAATGAAAGAGATGATACAAGAAGTGAGAGTTTATGGAGGAGGAGATTTCATGTACATGTGCCTGATTAACAAGAGCTATCACTAAAAACTACCAGAATCACAACTTTGTGTAAAGCCTGCCACAAAGCTTTAACATTAATGACTTCACAAATACAGCAGCTTCATAGCAATCAATGGCCTAAATGCCTAACATCTCATACCTTTTTAAATCCTTTACACAATAAATACTTTGGTGCAAGGACAATTGTTTAACCTTGTGTTGGTGCCACATCTGTTTTTGGTCCTGGAATAACTTTGCTTGGAGATTGCTTTAGTTATTTTAATTGCTGGAGCTTAAAGTTTTAGGGTAGGATCAAGGCAAATATTCTCTCCTCAGTGTTGTTTTTTCAAAAATTCCTTAGCTATTCTTAATTATGTAGAATTTCAGGTAAATTTCAGAATCATTTTGATCAAATTACTTAAGAATGTTTCTTTGCAATTTTCAGTACATTAGTATTATGTTCATGAATTCCTTGAGGAAAAGTCAGCATTGCGGTTCAAGTTTTTATATTTTCAAATCTACTTTTGCAAACAGCCTAGTTTTTTGATTTGTTTTCATCATAGGTAAGTACATTTTTGTTACACTTATGCATAGGTGTTTTTTTCTTCTATGAATAGAAGAGATTTCTTTATGTTTGTTTATAGCTCCTTTTTTCCCTTTCTATTTACTCCAGAGGATGAACAATCACTATAGGCCTGGTGTTCACCACCTTCTGTGGGAAGACTTTTGACTTTTTCAAGAGCAGGTGCCCAGGCCACGAGTGTGGAGGTATGGATCAGCAGGTGTACTGATGAAGAAGAGACAGGGGTCTCCAAACAGCAGAGTCTGGAGTCTAGTTATTTGCAGAGACTGCCCGTGAATTGATGAGGAAGGCTTAATGAGAGGAGAGAGGTGTCTAGAATCAAGAAGTCTCCTTCTCTGGCTGTTGATTGCAGAGACCCAAGACAGCAATATAATATTGCTCACATTAGTTCAGCCACTCCACAGTAATGAGATATTCCACAAAGTATTTGGCAAATATTTGATTAAAAGCACTCACTGTCAGTGCTTTAGAATTTCTGTAATATTTCTAGATTTCCTGGTATTTCTAGGGAGCAACAAGTGTGTATAAGGTGGTGAATCATTATTAGAATGTGAGAATTCTACAGAGCACTGACTTACAGGACAACAATAAGTTATGTATGAACCTTGGGCAGTTAGAGCCCAACCCCAGCTTCATCACTCCCTTGGTATACCTCGCTCCATGGGTAAAATAAGAAGGAAAATGCAGTAATCCCTTGGTCATGAATGCATCTTGTGGCCCATTCATTATCAAGTTACACTGCTATCCAGAACAACAGCTTTAATCCACAAATAGATGAATTCAAATTTATAAGGAGCTCAGCAAGTGACCTTAAAAAATCAAGATGTGAATATTCACAAATGATTTGCATCTATCACATTTAGTACTGTAAAAAGATCCATTTTCTAGATGCCTCCATAGATCACTCTGATAACATGACATTGGAGAGGAGCCAGGACTTGAAAGTGAGCCTACCCTGGGGTCACTTCACAACATAGTCATACCATTTAGCAACCCTGCCATGCCGAGCCCATTACTAAATACCACATCTGTGGTTTCCACCATTGAAAAATGCAGACTAGTAACCATTTCCAAGGACAAAGATGGAGTCACATAAATGGCTAATAGATTGGAGTCAGGCCATTGGATGTTGGCCCTGTTGCCTCATGGTTGCGTGGCTGTGACCCCGTTACTTGACTTTGTAGGGCCTGTAGCTTCCTTCCAACAATAGAGTGGCTGGTTTGGTTAAGCCTCAGTCTGTGGAGAGTACTTAGAACAGTGCCTGTGTCAGTACAGCTCCTATCCCTCCAGGGCTGCTGAGAGAATGAAATGAGATCCAGATCCTGACCGGCCTCCCCCAGTGACAGCACAGGACGGGTGTTCATTGGAAAGCCTGTGCCGTTATTGTAGGTATTCTACTCAGGGAGCGAGAGTGAGATTTCACATCAGCCTGATTTTCCTGATTTAGGAGGTACATTTTCTACCTGTGGAATGACTGCCACCTAAGGCAAAGAAGGAAGGGAATCCTCCCCTTAAAGGGAGGCAGGATTTGGCTTAAGATTAACAAACTGGACTGAATCTTTCTGCTTCGTTTTGTATGTATGTGTGAGTTGATCTCAAAGGGGTCACAATTAGAAAAGTCCCTCTGGGGCAGAGGAACACATTTATTTTACAAAAGTGGAAAGTAAACGAGATGGACTGCTTTCACTGTGAAAATGCCGAATTTTAGGGTAAACTGAGCCATTTTAGAATTTCCTGGGTTATGATGTGCCGAAGTGCAAAAATGTCTGGATTTGTTGGAAAAAGCAACTAAATGAGGCTTTAGGAGATAGCAGTTCCTGTGAGTTCAAGACCAGCTCCATCTGAACAGATTCATTAACTTGCTGAGCTCATTCATCTCCCCAGGCCTGTTTGCCTTTCCATGTCAGGAGGAGGAGATTCCAAACAGCCTTCCCTCTGGGTGGAATGTGGGTGGAGGGGGGGCACCACCAGTTCTGTCAGGACTCTGACCCTGCTGATTCCACTTCCTGCCAAACCTTGCAAGAGGGCGTTTGTGAAGCCCTGAGAGGAACATCAGGAAGAGAGATGAAGGGACACAGATGGCCTTCAATGACAGAGAGCTGGCACTTATCCTGGGCAGGCCCCTTGACCGATACTGCCACACATCACACCTGGGCTTGAGCTCCTAGGCTAGGGATAAATCATTTATCCTAACTTTATCCCTTATCCTACCTGAAAAGTCAGTCAGGAGGAACCTGGTCTCTCAGGTTCCCAACAACAAGGGCTCTCTTTCTGCTTATGCAGGAAGGCCAGGTCCTGATGATACATTGCCAAGTGACTTCAAGGAGGAACCTGGTTGAGGCCATGTATATGCAGGACTGGGGTTGAAGGCTGCCTGTGCCCCGTGGAGGACTGTAGGTCTAACCTGACACCCACTCATCTGCTTCATTGGCTGGCTCGCTTTAAGCCCTGGGACCAGTACATTGAGAGCTTAAAAGGAGAGACCTGGAAGTCCTCCCAACATCCCTAACTACGTGGAACCCAACAGAAGCCTTACATGGCACTCAGTGGGTCTGTGGTGGGGAGGGGTTATGTCTAATTGGCCGTTGGCGGGGGTCCTTAGTGGGTTTTTTTTAGGGCCCGGTTTTGGTTTTCTTTGGTTTTGGTTGGGGGTTGGGTTTGTTTTCCGTTACTTTTGGTTTTTTTTCTTGCTTTTTTGGTTGGTTTTGGGAGCTTTTTTGGCTTTTTTTGGGTTTTTTCCTTTTTTGCCTTTGTTTTCACAAGATGGATCCCCCTGCCCATAAGATTTCAGGTTGGACATGCTGAGATGACAATCGAGAGGCTGGGCAGAGATGGGAAACTCTCTATATACATTCACTTGGCCACTGTCCTCCAAATTTTTGTTTCACAGGACTGATCACTGAAACTGCTCATACTCACATCTTGTTGGACAGGAGGACATTTCTGGCTTCTTTCCTATGTCCACTTTTGGCTTCTGGCTTTCCCTCTTCTTCAGATGCCTCATTTTCACAGCTGTCCATCTAGTTCTGTCCATCCTACCTGAGTGGACCTCTCAGGGCGGGTGTCTCCTCTTGTTCAGAGCACAAGACTGGTGAGTGTCTGTGTGGGCATGGGGGCAATTGCAAGGTGGAGAGGCTCCATGAGAAAGCACATGGAGGATGGTCATCTGTGGCAACCTGGGCTTGGCCTGATGGCCTTTTTCAGAGACACTGAGTGGAATGATCTCTTGGGGAGCCCCAGAGCCTCCATCACCAAGTGATGCCCTGTTGCATGTCAGCCAGCAACAGAGGCCTTCTCATTCACTTCTTATCAAGAGTATCCAGAGGCTTTCGGCCAGCATGGACCTACTAAATATGCACACACCCAGCCAATGAGGGCTGGGTTTGACTCCATTCGGGTGGTATTACCTGAGCTGCAGTCACAGAGTTCCTGGGCACTGACTGTCATCCTCCAGGCCCTGAACTTTCTCTTTGTAGAAGGCTCGAGAATGGAGGGAAGGGTCTGGGCACATGAGCCCCAAGGAAAGTCAGAAGAGAACTCTCCAGGTTCTGGCCTCATCAAGGCAGCCTTCCAGTGACTTGAAAATAACCATCACCAGGTCATAAAGCTGACCTCATAGGGAATTGGGTGAATGAAGGAAGTGAACTAGGCCCAAATTCAAGTCCAACTCTCTGAGTCCTAGACTTTGAACATGGAACAGGTCACTCAATTTTTCTTTGATTTGCCCTTAAAGGTAAACTGGGAATCTACTAGCCCCTCCTGTACAGTTACCGGGACGATGAAAATAGCAAAAGTTCTGAGGCTCGCCTTTGGCCCACATGATGACTCACTAAATAACAGCCATCAATCAGTATTGTGACATTCCAAGGAAGACAACTAAGTGATGTGCTTTTTCCCTATGTCACCAGATGATGAAAGAAGGCCAGAGCTTTAACACCTGGTAAAGGGGTCAGTGTTGGCCCTGCAGCACTATCAACCACATCCACCAGCCCTGCTGGTCTCCAGTGAATAGCAGGAGAACTGCACGGGGCCACGCACAGACACTGTCAGGGAAACTCCAGAGGGACCTGACCTGTCCCATGTCTTAGGCATTCCTTCTAGCATAGGCCCACTCATGGCTCTGAGGCTATGAGGCACAGTACCAAAGGGCAACTGTTCAAGGGCCACAATGGTGGCCATTCTTCCCATTGGGAGCATCCCCGTGTTTGGCTCACCTGGTCCCTGGGATGATACCAAGTCAATGGCATTGGGCGGCAGCTTGGCATTGGGTGGCAGCTTGGGTAGACATACTGGCAACAGGAGTCAGGATCGCCCTGAAGCACAAACATAGAGAGGGATGTGTGGTGGACAAGCAGACGTCATCAAAAGGGAACATGTGGTGGGCCTGGGGTCCTGAGCAGGAGCTCCAGGAAGGGGAGGGGGCATACAGGGAGAGGGTAGAAAAGTGGTATCAATGTCCTTCTCATGAGCAGGTACCTGAGACCTGGACAGAGAGAAGAGGAAGGCAGTGAGGAGGCCAGAAGAGGGCAGCACATGGCCTCAAGCTCTGGAGTCCAGGCCTCTCTGGCCCTGAGTGGATAGGCCCAGGCCTTGCAGACTGGAACAGACCATTGGTAGTGGCCTTGTCCTCTGGAGAGCATGTTTTGGCTTCTTTGTGGTCCCTTATCAGGAGAGTTGCAGGCATGGCTTCTCAGCTGCCTGTGAGGCTTTAGAGGGGCTAGAAGCTCCTGGGAGAAGTAATGTACAGGCAGAACCAGGGAGGAGGAGCACAAAGCCAGTGGTAATTGGGTGCTCTTCCTTCCTCAACACCATTTTTTGTGAGAGCCTGTGCACCCCTGTCCCAGGCCCAATGCTGTTGCCTGGCCTGCTTCTCTCTCACCAAGATGGGCCCTGGCTCTTCTGGGCTAAGCAGGGCTCCTCAGGCTTTGACATTACATCCTAGGGCTCCACCCCTGCACAGGGAATTTGTGATGCCCTTCAGGGCCTGTATCTGTGCCTCTTCCTGTTGTGACTCTTGCCATCCTACCTCAGTGAGCTGTAGAGTCACTGGGTTGTGCTTTTCCTTTGCCCTGTACAAATAGCCTGGAGTCAAGCCTGTCTGGACAATGACATTTCTGGAGTTTTCATGGAGGGAAGAAGGTTTCTCAGCACTGGTCCTTTTTGTTTGTATTGTCCCTAACCTTAAAGTCTCTCTGTCACTTTCTTGTCTTACCTACCATGGACCAGGAATCTGAAACAAAACCCACTTCTCCAGGGTTAAGTCTCTTGAAGATAGAGACTGGCCAGAAGTTAGCTATTGGCCATAGTCCAGAATTCCAGATTCTAATAACAGAGCCCTTGTTGATGGAACAGTAAACTGGTGTGGGGTGAACCCTCATTTTTACTGCCTTCCTTAGCCACAAGTTATGGGCCTCTGGTTATTTTGTGGCATGAAATGAACAGTTCCACAAAGTCAAGTCCTTCCTAATGTGAGGGACACAGCACTTCCACTGATGGGCCCCTCTTACCTCTACTGCTCTGGGTCCACACCCACAACAGGAGACGATCACTGTGGGGCATGTATTTATAGGTGGTGGAGGTGGTGGAGGAGGTGGTTTATCTTCTTCTGGGTCCTAGGAAGGAAAATACCTTTCTGCATCATAGTCTGGGTGCTGGGGAGCTGGACATGTGGTTGTAGGCACAGGGACCCTGCCCTTTGGGGCCACTTGGATAATGTTTTGGGTTACATGAAAAGACCAATGAGCCAGGCATGGTGGTGCACACTTGTAATCCCAGCAGTTTGGGCAGCTGAGGCAGGAGGATCAAGATTTCAAAGCTAGCCTCCGTTAACAGTAAGGCACTAAGAAACTCAGTGAGACCATGTCTCTGAATAAAATAGAATATAGGGCTGGGAGATATGGCTCAGTGGTTGAGTGCCCTGGTTCAATCCCTGGTACCCTCCCCCAAAGAGAAAAGACAAGTGAATAGCCTCCCACACCAAGGGGAGTATATGCCACAGGAGAACAGTAAAAGTCCCCCTGTTTGCACATCTGTCTGTGACCCAAATTGCCAATGACCTCACTTCTGTGTTCTTAGCTCTCCAGATACTCCCTTGCTGGAAGAAGCCTGGCCTGGAGGATGTTGTTCAGTGGCCCTGCCTCTGCAGATGCCTGTCACTCCAGCTGGCTATGGCAGGTGCAGATGCAGCCTTCCCAGGCCAATGTGAAGCCAGTACAGATTCCACCTGGGCAGGAAGGCCAGCTTCCTACCACATTCCAGTCCCAGGTACCCCTAACCCAGACCCACCCTCAATTCCTGAGACAGGAATGAAGACTCATTCAAAGGAGCCAAACCAACCTCCAGAGTCTAGAGAAGGGAACGAGCACCTGAAACTTGAGGTTCTTATTGCAAAAGGCTCCCTGATTACTCAGCATTCTACAGTAAGTCCTTTGAGTCCCACAGAAAGCCCACTTACTTTAGTAGAGATCATCACATTTTCTGAACATGCCTTCAAGGCACTATTTTTGTAGCACAGATTCATGGTTAAGAATTTCTGGGTGCCTGGAGGGGAGTTGTATGGGTGATATCAACCTAGTCAATGTCCTCCCCAGAGCCCTCTTTGACCCTCTGTTCCCATTGTCTTTCCCCAGGTAGGTTGAGCTCCAGGGCACAGGCTTCCTGATGCCTCTTTTGAAGGTCAGTGTTGTTCTCAGGTAAGTAACAAAGTCTTGATTCAAACCTGCACGTACCTTTTGTGGAGGTGGCTTCATGATATCCTGGAATGTTAAACAGACAAAAGTCAGGAAGTGGAGGGGGTGTCATGGATTCTGCCTGGGCTCTGCAGTCAGAGGGGACACTGGGATGGAGCAAAGAAATGGAACATGGCTTGGCTTTGGTGTGTGTGTGGGGGGGGGCAGGGGTTCCCTGTGCCTAAGGTGCTCTGTGTAGCAGGCTCCACCTGACCCATTGGGTGTCTCATGCTTCCTAGAAGGGTTATGGAAGATGAGCCAGGCCAAGCAGCCTACCCCTAGAGAGGCTCAGCTGCTGGAGTGCTGCACATCTAACCAGAACCTACCTGGAGCCAGAACACACTCTGGCCTCTCTTCCTCTGGAGATCCTCTCTGTCTCTGGTGCCCTCACTTGCCTCCGCACCTTGGGATAGTCATAGGCTTTCTCTGCTCACTGCTCCCACTGTGCACAATGAGGACCCTCCTGCCCTGTGCTGGCTGTTGTCCTTCCCACATCAGCTCTTTCTGCTTCCATTCCCTAGTTCTCTGTGATGTTCCTTCCATCCCTGCTCTCCAGAGCCTCTGCCTTCCCTAATGCCCCCGGGGTGCGAGTCTCAGTCCTTTGCTATTGCTTTGCTGTACTCAGGACACTGACTGCATCCTACCCAGAGTGACATCTCACTCTCATGCCCTGAATGAACTCAGGTCTGGGAGCTCCCCATGGCCAGGAGGGTATCTGCTTCCTTTCTCTACCTCTGGAGCCCATCATGGGCCTCTAATCACTGGCATTCAGCCATGGGAGATGAAGAAGTGGCAGAAGGCACCACAAAGGTGCAGAGATCCACGTTGGTTTAACAGCTCCTCTGGCCCAGAGGTTGCTACAACTCCCTGGCCAGCATCACTCTGCATTTGGGGCCATGTGCATTTCACAGGGTCCCTCTCCTCCTCTTCTTCTGACACAAAGGCCAGCCCCAGGTCCTTGTTCATCCAAGGCCTGATCCTTTGCTGAGAGTTCCTCCTGGTCTCAGAGGTTCTGGGTGTCCTCTCTCAAGGTCTCAAGGCAGGCCTGAAACCAGGATCTAGGGTTCCCAGGCCAACTCTAATAGCCTTAGAAGGAGACCCTATACGAACCAGCTGTGTCTAGAGTCTGGGAACGTGAGGTCAGTGGTGCCTTCACTGGATCTTGTGATGGCTTCAGAGCTCATGGGCAACTGCCTTGGATGTAGGACCTCTGCCTGAGCCCAGGGCTGTGTGGGTGGACATACTCACTTTGAAGAAGTATCTCCAGCAACAGTACACCCACAGTGGGATCAGCAGCAAAAGTGGCAGCAAAGCAAGCAAGCGCTTGTCGAAGGGCACTTTTGAAATCATTCTGTAAGTGCCAGTGACAGAATGTCTGACAAAGGGTCTGGCAGAGCTGCTGATAGTGGTTATAACATCGCTTCTTACAGCAGCGCTCATGCCTGTGACAGCAGTGTTAGTGCTGCTGACGGTGCTGCTGACGGTGCTGCTGACGGTGCTGCTGACAGGAACTCCAAAGTTGCCCAGTGTTCCCTGTAAGAGAAGAATGGACCTGACAGCGCCATTGCCATAGGCCCTGGGAAGGACTCGATGGCTTCTTCCTGACTGCCCACCCCCTGCTTCCTATCTGTCTCACTGTTAGTTCTCAGGTTGCCTGACTTTCAGGGAGCACATGGGATAAGGTATAAGTGCGTTCACAGAGAGCTGCTGACCCTGCTGCCTCTGGTCCTGATGAAAGAATGCCCTGAGCCCAGGAAAACAAGTCCCTAAAGCCTCATGTCTGATGAATCTGGCCCTCACTGCTCACCGCCACTGACAGTAAAGTACTTTGTACTGCCCACACCAGTCCTCACGAGACCTAGGCTCTCAGTAGAGACGAGAGCAAATGATCTGTGAATTGAAGAATGACCTGAATGAGCAAATACAGGCAAAAATTGATCACTCCAACAAAGAGGTAAGAAAGCAAATACAGGCAGCAAAAGATTACTTCCATCTCTCTTGAGATAGAGACTCGGGAAAAAAAAAAGAGTCAGAAATACTTGAAATGATGGATACAATAAATCAAATAAAAATCTCAGTAGGAAGCATTACCAACAGACTAGATCACCTGGAAGAAAAAAAATATCAGATGATAAAAACAAAGTAAACAACCTGGAAAATAAAGTTGACCACACAGTGAAGATAGCTAGAAACCATGAAGAGAACATCCAAGAATTATGAAACAGAATCAAAAGCCCAAATCTAAGAGTTATTGGGATAGAGGAAGGAACAGAGTTTCAATCCAATGGAATGCACAATCTCTTTAATGACATAATATCAAAAAAATTCCCAAGCATGAAGAACGAATTGTAAAACCAATATAAGAGCCTTCAGGACACCAAATGTACAAAATTAGAACAGATCTACACCAAGGCACATTATAATAAAAATGCCTAGCATACAGAATAAAGATAGGATCTTAATAGCCACAAGAGAGAGGAATCTGATCACATTTAGGGGGAGACAAATTCGTATTTCAGCAGATTTTCAACCCAGACCCTTAATGCCAGGAGACCATGGAACAACATATACCAAGCTCTGAAAGAAAATGGATGCCAACCAAGAATCTTATATACAGCAAAACTAAGCTTTAGATTTGATGATGAAATAAAAATCTTCCATGATAAACAAAAGTTAAAAGAATTTACAACTAGAAAGCCTGCACTACAGAACATCCTCAGCAAAATATTTCATGAAGAGGAAATGGAAAACAATGATGAAAATCAGCAGAGGGAGATATTACACTAAAGGCAAATCTATTCAGAGGAGAAACCAAGTCACATTAAATAGCAAAAATAAACAAAAATGACTTGGAATACAAATCATGTCTCAATAAGAACCCTGAATGTTAATGGCCTAAACTTACCAATCAAAAGACATAGATTAGCAGATTGGATGAAAAAAAATAAAAGATCCAACAATACACTGTCTCCAAAAGACTCATCTCATAGAAAAAAAAAAAGCAGCATCCCAGACTGAAGGTGAAAGGTTGGGAAAAATCATACCACTCACATAGACTGCGGAAGCAAGCACAGGTTTCCTTCTTCATATCAAATAAAGTAGAATTCAAACTAAAGTCAATCAAAAAGGATGAAGGAGGACACTACATACTGCCCAACGAGATTTAGCAATTATAAATATATATGCCCCAAACAATGGAGCCTCTACATTCATCAAAAAAACTCTTCTTAAGTTCAAGAGTCAAATAGACCTCAACACAATAATTTGGTGTGACCTAACACACCTCTTTCATCACTAGATAGATCTTCCAAACAAAATCTGAACAAAGAAACTTTAGAACTCAATAATAGAATCAATAACTCAGACTTAACTGACATATATAGAGTATTTCATCCTTCAATGAGAGAATACACTTTCTTCTCAGCAACACATGGATCCTTTTCTAAAATAGACCATATACTGTGCCACTAAGCAACTCGTATCAAATATAAAAATGTATAGATACTACCCTACATTCTATCAGATCATAATGGAATAAAATTAGAAATTAGAAATTAGAAATCAATGATAAAATTATAAATAAAATACACTCCAACACCTGGAGACTAAATAATATTGTACTGAATGAACAATGGGTTACAGAAGACATCAAGGAGGAGATTAAAATTTTTTAGAGGTAAATGAGAACACAACATATTAAAATCTCTGGGACACTATGAAGGCAGTTCTAAGAGAAAAGTTTCTTGCATGGAGTTCATTCCTTAAAAGAAGAAAAAGCCAATAAATAAATGACGAATATTATGTCTCAAAATCCTAGAAAAAAAGAACAAATTAACACCAAAAGCAGCAGAAGACAGAATATAATTAAAATCAGAGCTAAAATCAATGAAATTGATATAAAAGAAACAATTGAAAAAAATGACAGAACAAAAAGTTGTTCATTAAAATTATAAATACAATTGACAGACCCTTAGCCATGCTGATGAAGAGAAGGAGAGAGAAAACTCAAATCACTAACATATGTGATGAAAAAGGAAATATCACAACAGACACTACAGAAATACAGAAGATAATTAGAAATTATTTTGAAAACTTGTACTCCAATAAAATAGAAAATATCAATAAAATAGAAAATATCGAAGGCATCAACAAATTTCTATAGTCATATAATTTGCCCAAATTGAATCAGGATGATATAAAACAATTTAAACAGATCAATTTCAAGTGACAAAACAGCAGATACCATCAAAAGTCTACCTATCAAGAAAAGCCCAGGACCGGCTGAATACACAGCTGAGTTCTACAAGACCTTTAAAGAAGAACTAATACCAATATTCTTCAACTTATTTCAGGAAATAGAAAAAGAGGCAGCACTTTCAAACTCATTCTATGAGGCCAATATCACTCTGAATCGAAAACCAGGCAAAAACACATCAAAGAAAGAAAATGTCAGACCAATATTTCTAATGAATATAGATGCAAAAATTCTCAGTATAAAACTGGCAAATTGAATTAAAAAATGTATAAAAAAGATCTTGCACCATGATCAAGTGGGATTCACCCCAGGGATGCAAGGTTGGTTCAACATATGGAAATCAATAAATGTAATTCATCACATCAATAGACTTAAAGATAGAAATCATGTGATCATCTCAATAGACACAGAAAAAGCATTTGACAAAATACAGCACTTCTTTATGTTCAAAACACTAGAAAAACTACAAATAACAGGAACATATCTCAACATTGTAAAGGCTATCTATGCTAAGCCTCAGGCCAACATCATTCTAAATGGAGAAAAAATGGAAGGCATTCCCTCCAAAAACTGGAACAAGACAGGGGTGCCCTCTTTCACCACTTCTATTCAACATAGTTCTCGAAATGCTGGCCAGAGCAATTAAACAGGTAAAAGAAATTAAAGGGATACACATAGGAAAAGAAGAAATTAAATTTGCACTATTTGCTGATGATCTTCTATACCTAGAAGATCCTAAAAATTCCACCAGAAAACTCCTAGAACTAGTAAATTAATTCAGCAAAGTAGCAGAATATAAAATCAACACCCATAAATCAAAGGCATTTCTGTATATCAGTGACAAATCCTCAGAAAGGAAAACTACCCTATTCTCAATAGCCTAAAAAACATACTTGGGAATCAACTTAATGAAAAAGGTGAAAGATCTATACAATGAAAACTACAGAACCCTAAAGAAAGAAATCAAAGAAGACCTTAGAAGATGGAAAGATCTACCTTACTCTTGGATAGGCAGAATTAATATTATCAAAATGACCATACTACCAAAAGCACTATATAGATTTAAAACAATTCTGATCAAAATTCCAATGATATTCCTCATAGAAATAGAAAAAGCAATCATGAAATTCATCTGGAAAAAAAAAGACTCAGAATAGCTAAATCAGGAAGAGTGAAGCTGGTGGCACCACTATACCAGACCTTAAAATATACTACAGAGCAAATAGTGACAAAAACAGCATGGTATTGGTACCCAAACAGACTGGTAGACCAATGGTACACAACACAGAGACTAACCACAAAGTTACAATTATCTTATATTAGACAAAGTTGCCAGAAACATGCACTGGAGAAAATAAAGCCTCTTCAACAAAAGGTGCTGGGAAAACTGGAAATCCATATGCAACAAAATGAAATGAAACCCCTATCTCTCACCATGCAAAAAACTCAACTCAAAGTGGATCAAGGACCTAGGAATTAAACCAGAGACTCTGTGTCTAATAGAAGAAAAAGTAGACCCTAATTTTCATCATGTGGGATTAGGCCCTGACTTCCTTAATAAGACTCCTATAGCACAAGAATTAAAACCAAGAATCAATAAATGGGATGGATTCAAACTAAAAAGTTTCTTCTCAGCAAAAGAAACAATCTGTGAAGTGAACAGAGAGCCTACATCCTGGGAGCAAATTTTTACCCCTCACACATCAGACAGAGCACTAATTTCTAGGGTATATAAAGAACTCAAAAAGATAAACACCAAAAAAACCCAAATGACCCAAATCAACAAACGGGCCAAGGACCTGAACAGACACTTCTCAGAAGAGGATATACAATCAATCAACAAATATATGAAACAATGTTCATCATCTCTAGCAATTAGAGAAATGCAAATCAAAACTACTCTAAGATATCATCTAACTCCAGTCAGAATGGCAGCTATTATGAAGACAAACAACAATAAGTGTTGGCGAGGATGAGGGGAAAAAATCATATATTGCTGGTGGGACTACAAATTGGTTCAGCCAAAATGGAAAGCAGTATGGAGATTGCTTGGAAATATGGGAATGAAACCACTGTTTGACCAAGCTATCCCTCTCCTCAGTCTATACCCAAAGGACTTAAAAACAAGCATACTACAGGGAAACAGCCATATCAACGTTTATAGCTATTCACAATAGCTAAACTGTGGAGCCAACCTAGATGCCCTTCAGTGGATAAATAGATAAAAAAAAATGTGGCATGTATACACAATGGAATATTACTCAGCTATAAAGAGAATAAAATCATGGCATTTGCAGGAAAATGGTTGGAGTTAGAGAAGGAAATGCTTAGTGAAGTTAGCCAATCCCAAAAAACCAAATGCTGAATGTTTTCTTTGATATAAGGAGGCTGATTCATAGTGAGATAGGAAGAGGGGAGCATGGGAGGAATAGACGAACTCTAGATAGGGCAGAGGGGTGGGAGGGGGAAGGGAGGGGACGTGGGGTAAATAATGATGGTGGAATGTGATGATCATTATCATCCAAAGTACAGGTATGAAGACATATTGGTGCGAATATAACTTTGTATACAACCAAAGATAGGAAAATTATACTCTATATGTATAGTAAGAATTGTCATATATTCTGCTGTCATATATAAATTTTAAAAAAGTACTTTGTAAACACCACAATAAGTACAGATGCCCATAAAGGGGTTCCCAGAAAGATATAGGCCCAAGAGCAGAAACAGGCAACAGCTGTCTGTCAACCCATGGCCTCCCCACACTTGCGGACTCTGTAACCAATTCCAATTCCTTTCTCAGAGGTTCAGCTAGTACATCTTTAACCAAGGGGAGAAGCAGCCCTCCTCCAGGGGTAATTGTGAATTCAGAGTTTAGAATGTCCTTGCTCAGACTAAGGTCCATATGGGGCTTAAGGAATCGGGGCTGATCATTCTGGTCCAGGGATCCCAGGCTATCCTGTGGGCACACAGCCTGCTCCACTGTCCAGAGTCAAGTGATTGCTTAGAGAGAAGGCGACAGAGGGGTAACAGGGGGAGGAGCCTGTGGCTAGAAAACAGGTGGCTGAAAGGAGAAGCAACATGCAGCGTGACAGTGATGGGCACTGGCTGGGCTGGGGTCACTTGGGCTGTGCCTGTGCTCTTTCCTATCTGTGCCTGTTTCAGGATGGGCTATGAACAGATGGTCTCCTGATGAGCACATGTGTGAGTTCAGCCTGATGATCTGGGCGTGGATGTGCAGGAACAAGCCAAGACAGACCTTGAGGAGGACTGTCAAACCTGTAGGGTCCTAACAAACTCAGACTGTACCTACAGGTGAACAACAAGTGGGCACAATCTCCTCTTTCCAGGCCTCCTATTATCCTACATTTGGTTAAATTGCTGGGATGATGTGAAACTCAGAAAATCTACACTGGGTGGGTAACACCCTCATTTTCAGATTGCTCTTGCTGAGCTGAGAAGGCCACACGCAACTGGTAGCTGTTTTCCAACCACAGTGGGGTAAGGTGGCAGGCACAGAGGGAGACAGCTGGGGCAGAGAGGAGAACTGAGGACCCAGGCATTCCTGAAGGGCTACTGAGCAGGCCTCAAGGCCAGGTCCAGAATGAATTTGGTATCACATCCATGACTGAGGCACCAATTCAGTGCACACACACATCCTACCTCAGCTGGCAGAACCAGCCAGATCCCTGTACCTAGGCATTCCCACATGAAATGGGTGGGCACCCTAGATGCTATAGACTCTAGCATGTAACAGGCAATCATCCAGGCTCCCACACATCCAGGCCCACCTGGAATTTGGAGGAACCTGTCTGTCCAAGCTGCTTTCTGGGCCTATCTGGTACCCTCTGCCCAGGGTGCATTGGCATCTAGAACAGGGGCAGGGACAGCACGGGGGGGGGCTGCATCCCCACCCAGGTACTTACAATACAGTTAGAGCTGGTTATGTTGTGTTGGTTCCCAATGAAGCTGAGACCATTGTTCAAGCTGACTTCAACAAATACCTCCCTAAGGCACAGAAAGGACAGATGTTGAGAACCAGCCCAGACCCTTGGGAAACCATAGCCCATAGAAATCCTCATGATAATGACTCTGAAATCCCAGCATTTAAGATCTCCAGGAGTATAGAGGTGGATATTGAGAGCCCATTGACCAAAGCATGAGGAGAAAGACCTCAGCCATGATTTCAAGGGGACTATGGGTCAGACCACGATTCTTCCTTATGGCATCTGATGTCATCATGGCCATAGGTTGAGTGACCAGAAAGTTCTGCATGGTGTCACCATCCTTAATTTTATTACAGAATATGTCATCTTATTTCTGCAAGTCAAATTGGAACAAAGGTACCAGTCTTAGGGCACATCGTCTCATGCATCCTGCCCTCAGCAGATCCTGGGCCACTGTGAATTCCTAAACCCCTTGCAGGTCACCAAGAAGGAAAGGTGGGGAAGATTCCCTTCTCCCACTAAGAGATAGGCATGCTTCCTGGCAGAGGTGGGCATTCCAAATTCTTTACACATAGTGGTGGTAAATGCTGAGCACCTGATCTCCCACCCTAAGACCTCCAAGCAGGGCACTTACTGATTAGGTTGTGTTATCATTGGTCCAGGACAAATTATGGAAGTTTTGCTCATACTGGTGGGGTTGTTATCTAAAACACAATGACATGAGAATGTCAACAGACCTGTTCATCTACCCTGGCATGCTCTGCCTGCCCTGAGCAAGCAGAGCTGATACTTTGACCACGTCCCAGCCTCTCCCCTCTGCCTATCTTCTTTTCAAAGACATCTGCTGAGCACATTCTTTGCCCATCACTGAGCAGAACTCATTTCTCCAATAGGAACAGGCAGCAAGAGGCCCTACTCTCAAGGAATCTCCTGTTAGGAACTGCAGAGGACATTGAACAAAATGAGAGTAAGGGAACATTCATGGGAAATAGTGCAAAGTGTTGTGCCATTGATAAGCAGAGGAAAGGACAGGGCATGCAGGGGGAGGAAGGCTGCTTAATTATGCCTGACCTGTTCCCTTTTGTAGAGGTACAATTTGTCCTTTAAAAAACTAAAATATTCACACATGAATTGATGCAATATCTGGAACACGATGAAAAACACTCTTGATGGTGTGAGGGAATTCAGATAGTGTGTGATGGGAATGATGAGAGTGGTGGTAGGTGCTTTAAATTCATATACAATTCTTGGTACTTACGTAGGCAAGTGCTCTCTGAGGAGCTCATACCAACCAGACAAAGAACGTCCAGTGAACAGAGGGAGGAAAGAGTGTTCTGGGCTGTGGGCGTGACATTTGCCAAGGCCCTGAGGTCATGAACTACTGAGCTTGTTGAGTTGGGAAGGAGTGAGCCAAGAGTGGGGTGATTTTTATGGACTTGGAAAAACAATTGTGCTTTATTTCACATCTGATGGATCTTTCAGGAGAATGTACAGGTTCTTGATATTGTTCAGCCATAAATATTGCAGGACTCTTTAGGTGTGAGGATAGAGCTATGAGAAACCAAAGATGACATTGGGATTTTTGACCAGAGGAACAGGGTGGATGGTGGTGTCATCTGAGATGGGAAAACCTGAAGAGGAAATAGGGTTTCCTTCCTTCCTTCCTTCTTTCCTTCCTTCCTTCCTTCCTTCCTTCCTTCCTTCCTTCCTTCCTTCCTTCCTTCCTTCCTTCCTTCCTTCCATTGGGAGCCTGGGAAGAGCTTTATAACTTGTAGTCATGGAACCTTCTCTGCCCTGAGTCTAAATCCTCTTTACACCTCCTTAGCTGTGGTCAAGT